TATTATATATGTAGGACTCAAATCTATGGTGGGTTCCAAATCTATGGCAGATTCCTAATCTATGGTAAATGTGACGTCATGCCACCCCAAATCTATGGCAGATTGTTTTACAATCCTTATCTATGGCAAGTTTTGTAATTTCCTAATCTATGGCGTTTTTTTTTTGTTGTTTTCAAATCTATGGCAAATTTTGTGCAAATGGAAAACAATGCAGTACATATACGACCAATGACTTGTCTTAAACAAGTGGGCATGTACGACGGGAGCATGTATATAAATATTTGTGAAATTTCATAATGGTCAACCAAATCGTGTTGGCAACCAATCAGATTCGTAAATGATGAAATCATATACCTTAATACAGACTTCAAGATTGAAATGATGTGCACCGTAAAAGTAAACATTTTTTAATCTGTGCATGTTACCTATTTAACCCATTCATTAAACCAACTAGTAAGTCCCTTATAAACAAAAAAAGGGGATATTTTTTTTTATAAAACAAAAATGATAAATAAAAATGAACAGTTTGAGTTTTCAAATAATATTTACTTCATCGTTAATATCATTTTTATTTGAAGACGATTTAAATCAAATTGGTATCCGGTAATTTTATCTTTCACTTTATAAACTTTGCCAGCTGTAGACAGTAAAATATTTACTATAACTCCTTTTCTAAAATATCTGGTACTGAAAAAAGCGGTGCCCTTGTTCATCGCGGGTTTCGGCCGGTACAGCACATTTTGTCCCTCTTCCGGATAATAAGTCATATCTTCCTTTAAACCATCCGCAAATTGTTGTCGAGGGAAATACCTTCATCTGGAATCGTGTTCAAATCTATGAGTTCCGCCAACGTTTGCGGCGGCGACGATGTAATATTGCGTTATTCTATTGTGACGTAATTTATAGATCTGCCATAGATTTGGAGAAAACAAAAATCTGCCATAGATTTGTTTTATTTTTTACGTTTGTTACCTCACATTTGCCATAGATTAGGAATCTGCCATAGATTTGGAACCCGCCATAGATTTGAGTCCTACATATATAAAATCAAATGGATGATCCATGTCTTTTGATAAATTAAACAATTTCATTCAAAGTCAACAAAAAGTGATTACACTATAAACGTTTATATAATTAGCCATAAAGTATGTACACTATGAAAAGCGATTGGTCACTTTAATATAATTCCGAACTTTTGTGAAAAATAACGTGTTTAAGTCCATATTATAAATGCTATTACTATATATTAGAATTTTCAGGACAGTAGGTATATTTTCTTTTCTAATTTCAAAAAATAAGGTATTCCTTTGAGCTGTATAAATTTTACACGAAAGGAAATAATGATGTGTATTTTCATATAAATATCCACATTGACACATTGCGCTGGGTTTAATATTTGCATGATACAGATCAAAACATCTATATATATATCTATCGCCAAATGAGAAGTATGTAGGGGTTAATTTTTTTTATAATATTTCTGTTTAATTTTAAATTTAAGCATATTTTAAGTTTCTAATACTTATATCGAGTGAATTCCACAGTTTAATACTAGATGGAAGGGACAATCTGCTGGGAGTTTGGTATATATTTTGACTACTTTGTAGATTGTAATTGTTTGTTTTTTTAATAAAGTGTTTGACTCGAGCATAACTGAAGAAACATAAGTTGTCGATATGCTGACCCCGTGTAATTAACTTGGTCCCGTAAATGTTATTACCCATAAAATGCTCCAACTGAGGTAAATCGACACTGCATAAGTTGTGCGATCACCATCACAAATTGGTGGACCGATTGGGTATGCCTGTGTCTATAATGATTAGCTGTTTTTGCGGTCTAAAATCTTGGATACCAGAACAATCGTCTAATTTGTATTTTACCGATTGCGTAGTATGCCCGATTGTGACATTATGCTTGAGTGTTTGTATGGGCGGATGGTGTATGCACTGAAGGAGACAATTACCTTATCGACGGCACTCGGTCTAGCTCCTTTTAATAAAGACTCGCATTCATACTTTTAGTAGTGATTTTCCTTCCTAAAATGTTTGCAATCAACTTTAATAGATTTCGAATTTTTACCAGTAATCAATGACTAGCATTAATTTCTGAATTTACAGTGATACCACCTGCACATAGGAATCATTTTCATTTCTATCATTTGATACACATACTATCCGGAAGCTAATGATATCTTATATTTAAAGAAGGGTTATACAATATTAAAAAAGAAATGCGAGCAATGTACAGTACACATATCCTTTTTTCAAAGTTGAAATTTTACCTTTTGATATCATGTTGAAAGGCTAAGACAACCTTGCTCCTAAAAAGTGTTGGCAACATTAAAATCATGTATTTGCATTTTGAGGCAGCTGACTGTTCTTTGAAATACACCAAAGAACCAAATATATTCCTCTGGTCAATTAAGTAGGAAAGTCTAAATTAAAGTTCATAATTTTGACGGGGTTTTGCATTCTACATCTGTAGTTTACAAGTATAACACATTGCAAACCAACTTAACGTATTGTTCCCACCTGCCGACATTTTGCTTCCATATTCTATCCCTCTTTTCAATCGCAAGTCTTTGTTATGGTTTTTAAAGTCCTGTTTTTATTCATTCTATAATGGTTGAATAGATGCTCGTAGCAGGTGTGTTCGACTCAAATCTCTACTGACTAGGATTGTCAGTTTTCCAGACGAATGTCAGTGGTTTTCTCCGTGCACTCAGGTTTCCTCCACCAATAAAAACTAATCGCCGCGATATATCCAGCAGTGTCCAGAGTTGCATTTAGCGCCAGCAATTAATCAATAAACCAATTATATTCCATTCACTGTAATACGTGGACATGTTCATAGGAGGTTAAGATGTCCCTTTTCCTATTATTGATATTGGATTTATATAACTTCAAGGTAACAATTTGTACCTTTTGATATCAAAATAAAACCAGGTTCAATCCACCATTTTCTACATTTGAAAATGCCTGTACCAAGTCAGGAATAGGACAGTTGTTGTCCATTCGTTTGATGTGTTTTGTCATTTGATTTTGCCATGTGATTAGGGACTTTCCGATTGAATTTTCCTCGGAGTTCAGTATTTTTGTGATTTTACTTTTTTTTTGTATCGGTTTCCTAAATCTGATTTTGATGACTTTGGGGATTTGCATCGGTTGATGTATTTATTTGGTTGGACTTAAAAATTGAGCAGGTGATACTGAAGATGGGTATTTAACTTCTTGAATACTGATGGTTATTGTATCTATTCTTCCTTTTTATTTACCTAGTTTATGTTTGAGTTTGTTGTTAATCAGTACCAAATCAATTACTGTGGATTCATTATTAATCGTTGGATAGTAATATTCGTGGATTTCGTCGGTACAAGTAAACCACGAATTAAAATGTTCAACGAATCACAGATTTGCCATAAGGTTGTATGCAGACTTTGACAAAGCCACGAAATTAAATGTCCACGAAATTACAAGTTTTCATAAATCCACCAAAATTGGTTTCCACGAAAATAAATGAATCCACAGCATACAGTCTTCTCCTTTTTGACCATTGATGCGATGTGCAGTGGAAAACGAGGTAACATTTAAATCACGTGAATGACCATTCTAAAGACTATATATATGAATATTACAATGAAATAATTGCTTAAGGCATTTTTTTGATAATATATATCTGATATAGTATTATGTACAACTGTGGTGATTAAAAGTCGCATAACAGCATCGCCTGAAAGATTTTAAAGTCGACATTACTTCGCACCTGATTATTGGTTCAAACTCGGCATTTAATTTGTATACAACAGATAGACAATAATAAATATCATATGCATAATGTATCATTACACAGCCTATATAAGCAAAAGTATTCACCTATACTTTTCAAGTGGAAAACCGCCTCAGTGGTCTTGTGGTAGCGCGATCGGTTCGATAAGGGAGGTCGTGAGTTCTACCCCGGCCGGGTTGAACCAAAGACTTGAAAATTGTTTTTCCTTCTGCTCTTAGCATTTGAGGGTAAGAGGAAAGTATATTCCGTTTGCGTCATTAAAAATGTCTCCAGGTAAGTGACACATCTTTATATGGAATGCACCGTAGTGAACTACCATGATAAAATTCCTGACTGCGCGTGACGATTTGTTACAAGAGCAGCGTTCACAATCTTAGCACATCAACGTACTTTCGTCCACATATGCATGATATATTTGACATATTTGACACTTGACGTTAAAGTCCAATCAAACCAACCGTCCGTCTGCGATATGATAAGCTAAAGGGAGCATGCATTTATTTGCACCTGTCCTATGTCAGGAAGCTGATGTTCAGTAGTTGTCGTTTGTTGATGTGGTTCTTAAGTGTTTCTCGTTTCTCGTTTTTTATATTGATTAGACCGTTGGTTTTCCTGTTTGAATTGTTTTACACTAGTCATTTTTGGGGCACTTTATAGCTTGCTATTCTGTGTGAGCCAAGGCTCCGTGTTGAAGGCCTCACTTTGACCTATAATTGTTAACTTTTACAAATTGTGACTTGGATGGAGATCTAGATTTATCTCATTGGCACTCATACCACATCTTCTTATATCCATTTGTTATACCATATGTCCCTTATCATACAACGCTTTTAAAAATATCAATCAGTTTATTACTGTGGATTCATTTATTTTCGTGGGTACCAATTTTCGGGGATTGATGAAAACCTGCATTTTCGTAAATATTTGATTTCGTGGTTTTGCCAACTTCTGCATACAACCCTACAGAAAATTGGCAGTTCGTTAAATATTTAAATTCGTGGTTCACCTGTATCCACAAAATCCACGAAAATTGGTATCCAATGAATGATAATGAATCCACAGTATGTGATATCAGATCATCGCCTACGGTTAAACTGTTTTCTCCATTCGTCTTCTATTATTAACCAACTTTCTATCGAGATCGATTTCTCGTTTAATTAATAACACATTATAGAAATTCGACAAATCTTGAAAATAAGAAGCTACGAGTACAATATTGTCACGTTGACCTTTATTCAATAAAGTTTAAATGGTATTTATCAATTTGACTTAGAAGTTTATTTTCCGTGTTGCATAATACGTAGCTGAAACCAAGATCGATGATATGCTTTTTATAATAATTCATTACAAAAACACACCAAAAAATCTATATTTTGACGAAGCATGACATTTCAATAGTTTACAGTTTAGAAAAAATCACATTTCCATATAATAAAGTACCATATGAAAGGCAACTGTAGAAAATCACATTTCCATATAATAAAGTACCATACGAAAGGCACTGATATAAATGTTCTTCCACAAACCGATCACATGACATCAAAAATGCCCGCTTGACCTTTCAAATTGCAAATAAGCAAACGTGTTCTTGTTTTGTTGAAGCTAAGTGTCCTCGGATTTGGAATGTTATCCACCTTTATTGCTTTGTGTTTTGCTCCATCGGGGGAGATCATAATTATGTTTCCACCGCCCTCATTCCCGACATAAACGACTCCAGTTTTATCAACAGCTATACCGCGTGGTTCTTGCAACGATTTGTGCTTGAATTCCCAAACGAGTGTTTTATCAACGTTGTAGCATTGTATAGATGGACATGTAGTATCAGTGCAGTACATTGTTCCATCAAGCACTGCAACATATGCATCATGTGTTTTACTTCCAACACCAAGCTTAGTTAAAATGTCATTATCGGGATTAATTGAGAGTAGTCCTTCGTTAATTGAACTGCATATCAAGTTCCCATCGGAAAGGGATATACCATGACATTGATTTGAAGCCTCGATAGTTTTCACAACTGATCTGTTTTTTAGGTTGACGATTAATATTTTACCTCCAGAACGCGATGTTGTAACAGCTAATGATTGGTCGTTTACAAACACGATGTCATATGGGCGTTCAGGAAGAACAATAGAGTGTAACAAAACTCCATTAGTGTTTTTCACATATAAGGTTTGTGTGTTAGTAGCTGTATAACATACAATATCATTTTCCAAAATTGCACATCCAAACACTTCTAACTCGATCTTAAATCCCGTCACCAATTTTAGATTGATGTCATCAAACTGTCTTCTCTCAACTGTGATCTGTACCTGTTGTTCATTTGGCTTTGTGTCACGGATTGTTGATGGTTTCATCTCTATTCCAATATCACCGAAGGAACTTACATCAGAGGTAAAAGCTGAAAGTTTTATATTTTCTTTAAAAACAATGCGTCTTATGTCAAACGAATGATCTTTTGCCAACTCTTCGATTTCTTTTTCCTGCGTACTTATTTCAAATTCGAATTCCTTGGTTCCGAGAAATATCTGAAGTTCTGACGCATGATTTTGCATTTTTATTAGTCCTTTGTTTAATTCATCTGTTCTGTCCTCCTTCCCTTTCAAATCGTTATAAATTCTCTCTATATTTTGCAGTGCATTTTTTTCAAGATCGGATACCTTCTGAAGAACTTCCTTTTCTAAACGGTCTAAATATTCATTCAATTTAAGTCGGGTTGATTTAACATGCTCAATAATAGTCTTCGCCTCAGCCTTTATTTCTTTGGTATTTGACTGTTTTTCCTGACAAAGACGCTCATAATACTTTTTTAGATTCTGCAGACGCTCTTTAATGTCTTCTAATGCTATTGAATTACGAGCATCTTTGGTAACATCTTCTAGAGGTGGCATATCTCTGCAGTTTTTATGGGTCAAGTTTATGCATTTCCTACAACATGGTCTTTCATGACTTAAGCAATAGTTCTGGAATAGTGCCCCATGATCCTCGCAATGCTGCTTTATTTTCAGTACGAATTAAGGCAGCTCTTTCTGATCACTTACGTCAATGACGGCGTGACTTTTTGTTGACTTCGCGTTGCTATGGTACTTTAGGCAGTCAGGACAAAATGCTTCATCACATTCGAAACACCACTTCACAGCTGTTTTAACAATGGACTGTGACTCACACACAGTACAGTTTGAACTTGTTACTGCAGCCATGTCTGTAAATAAAAATAAATGATAATGATAACATGCAGCTTGAATATTATAAAAGTATGGAGATAACCTGTACATTTACATCTATTGCAGTTAGTATTGTGCTGCTTCATATAAATATCGTTCTGAACACGTGTATGGATCTGAAATCATTTCACAATTTTACCGAATATACCGTCATTTCTACTTAAGAAAATGCCTGTACCAAGTCAGGAGTAGGACAGTTGTTATTAATTTGTTTGATGTGTTTGAGCTTTTGATTTTGCCATTTGATTAGGGACTTTCCGTTTTGAATTTTTCTCGGAGTTCAGTATTTTTGTGAGTTTACTTTATGATAGATTCATAATGTACAAATCTTTTAGAAATCACGTAAACCCTGCAAAATTTTCGCCTCTTGATATCGTCATCCTCTTCACACTATTTTTTGGTTTATTTCAAATTTTCTATTTATTATGGATAAAATATTTCACTTTCTCATAACTTATAACAGATATGTGAACCATTTGTACTTCCATATATAGAGTTTCAATATGTGAGAAAGTTAAATACTAAACTTCAGTTTAAATAGCCACATGTTCACGTGTATCTTTAAATGTTTAACCATCTAAGAAGCTGTTTTAGATTCTACATTATGTAATATGGATTGCATAAATTTAAGGAAATTGAGCGTTGAAGGCTTACCTCTGAAATAATGACACAAAAGCAGTACATGCACAGCAAACAACACCACACATATGAATTTTTTGTATAATACATTGTGGTAATCTAGGTATCAAATGAAAGGTGAAGGACTGTTGATCCTTGTAGTACACAGTTTGACGGATGATTTTGAATGATACAAAAAATGTATCAATGAATTCTAAAATTGAAGGCATATATTTCCTGATTCTCAGATATTAAATACCTTGTTAGGATATTTTTGCGGTAACCAGTACGGTCGTCTTTATTTCATTGGGTTGCTGTTTCATATACGTTTATCAAACACATCTTTAACACAATTTAATTAAAATAACAACATACTATCGAAATCCCATATCTTTCAATATGCAAATATGTTAGCACCGAGCATTACAAAAGAGACATTTTGTCAAATTTGTATATGGCGCAGCAAAATTTATACCGTTATTTATTGATTTTACTCTCAGGGACAATGATAAAGTATATTGTAGATTTTCACTTTAGTATGCATTTGGATTAATGATACACAATTTTAAGAATGAAAAAGATTTAGCCAACGATGACGAATAAACTATATATTTGATAACTTACCAGAAATAACAACCGAATTTGTGATTACAAGTTAGACAATGTCATGCAATTTAACTTCCTTGATTGTATGTGTACATACAGGTATTAATACTGATCAAGTGATCGTTGTGTTGTGTATGTCGACGAGAGATAACATTTAGGCCTACCTGTATGTGTTTAAAATTTCATTGTGCATTTATTACAAAAATCAAACAGTACTAGTTCAGTACCAGTAACCGTCAATAGTTCTTTGTTTTTTTTAAATATATTTTTACTGGGATTCTCTTTGAAAATATTTTTTTAACATAAAAAGCGTAACTAAAAGTTTTGTCACATACTCGGACTTGAAATTAGTTAATAAACAATGAAAAGCGGTTTGCAAATGTGGCATTTTTATGGTTACGAGGGCCAGTTACCGTCACTTAATTATCTGACCAGTTAATCAAAGTTAATATGATATTTTGAAGAGAAGTAGATTTGTTAAATACGTCAAAACTTTCTTAATCTTTTCTTCCTTTTGCTAAATCTGATCTGACCATGAATTGTGTCACGTTGAGACAAACAAAATACACTGTATTGAAAGAGTGTTGATATTTCACAACTCGTTCGCAATGCCCGTGTCTGTTGTGACGTTTATGTTTTAACGAACGTAATCTATGTTTTTTATGGTTGATAACGTTTAATTTTGTAAGTTTTTATGGACTTTCCCTTTTAAAATTTACCTTGGAGTTCGGTATTTTAAAAAAAAAATTTATGACATGATACTGTAAACAATGGTTACATTCATAGAGTGTTACCTTTAAAAGATTAAACTGGTACATGACGAAATAATCACATGTGGGAGGTCGATACTTCATTTGATCAATAGTTGTTTCTTCCCTGTACTTTTTTAAAACTTAAACTAATCATGTCAAATATAAGATCAATGCAAAACATTTTGTATTTATATCCGTTGCCATTATAATATTTCATTCAATGATGGTTAATAAAGATATCGACAGTAACACGTATCCCATTGCATTTTGTTACCAAAACTGAAGCTATTTTTACCCTCTTTACAATTATATTGAGCATTCACCTTTTTATATTTTCTTATTTGCATACAGCCCTACGTATTACTTATGTATCATAAAGAAAGTTTAAGGTCTAATGCACATAATTTTCTTGCAACAACAAGAAGAATTAAAATTCACGATAAAATAAAAATCAAAACAAAAACTGAAGTAAAATGAAAAAAAGACAAGAATTTAATACATAGTAAGTAGTACAGTGATGTCAAAACTAAATGATTGATATCAAATGTGATAAAAGGATGTCCATTTAACATTTATACATAATAACATTGAACTTGGTTGATTTGAAAATTTTCAACATGAAGTAAACATGGTAAAAACCTAGGTTATTTTTAAATACATAAATATTGGACGAATGTAGAGTTAAAGATAACATAGAGATTGTATATCTATTACCTTTTTTTAAATGTAGATTGTATTATTGGAAATTTCCAGATTGTATCTACTTATATTACAGAAAACAACGTACTAAAAGAGGTGGAAAGTTCTGGAACGTGAATCTTAAATGTTTTTGATAACATGTTTAAATTTATGCGCGCATATAATATATCGTAATGGTTGTTTTTATCGATGGCATAGTATCAGTGTTGCGGATATCTTTGCACACTGTGCAAATGGATTATTTTCTTAACTTGGAAAATGCCGATGTGGGATATATCCAGGTAATTTTCACATTATAGCAATATATGCGTTTTTTTAAAAACTATTGCATAGCAATTTTTACGTGGTTTAGAAAGTTTCGATTTTTATTGCCGCATTTATTTGCATATTTTTTTTATCGCCTTGAAATGCGCATGGAACATGTTGAGGATGTAGATATAATAATATCAATTACATTTTCTTATATTAATATAGATTAGTGGTCATATTTTACGGACAAAATGTATGATTGTAGATTTTGGGAAAACGAAAGTGGGTTGTTGAATTAATATATATGTCATGTTCTTGATACAGACGTACGCATTTCTACAATATATACACAGTATTCAGCTAGCTGCATCGTTTCTTTAATGGCAGTTATAGCTCTAGTATTCAGTGAATCTCTGTTTTCAAACTTTCAGTCATACGGAAAGGATGGTTCATCAAGATCCTTTGATTTTTCATGACTTTAAAGTAGTTGTATGGTCATGAATAATATAAAGTTCAATATTACAGAATTTCAGGTTGTGTTTAGTTATCGTGTTTTGTTTTACTTTTGACGTTCATGGAGCAGGTGAGTCCTGATGTACGAATCAGACACAAGAGATTTGTTTAGTGTTGTTTTAATGTCCACTTGTATTTATATTTAATATACTATACATGGTATGTACTATCAACTACACAAACGTTTCTATGGCGTCTTTGTCAATATACTATCAACTACAAAAGAATGTTGATGTTAACGTCATTGCCAAATTAACTACCAACTGCAACTTTTTTGTTGTCAGCTTTGTTATACTTATTTATATGTTTGTTTGAATTTTGTAGTCAGTGGTGTTTTCCATGTATGTCTGTGATGTACGTTTGAACAGTTTTGGCTGCTGGATCCAAATTATTGTCACATTAACCTGTTATGTATGTTTGGGTTGCTGACTTAATTTTTGTCAATATAACGGAACTATAAACAAATGTCATACAGGTGGGAGGGTTATCTAGCTATTAAAACTTGTTTGTGTTGCATTTTAGTGTTTCTGTTGTGTCTTTGTTCTCCTCTTATATTTGATGTGTTTCCCTCAGTTTTAGTTTGTAACCCGGATTTGTTTTTTCTCTATCATTTATGAATTTCGAACAGCGGTATACTACTGTTGCCTTTATTTAAACCACTATTTTTCTCCAAAATTTGTCTGTATCAAGTTAGGTATATGTTAGTTGTTTTCCACTAGTTCCGATGCTTGATAAACTTGGTCAGCTTTTATGGACGAGCCCTTTTAATCTACCGTACAATGGTTTCCAAATAATTACGAGAAAGAGTTACTTGTTTTGAGTTAGATAATTATTTTATTTTGAACCTCACCTATAGTTCCATAAACATTTTACACGGCAGCGAAATAAGAAAGTGTCTCTTGACGCGGACGAGGAAGGACCGATTTAAAAATGGCATTGAATAAAACTCCTTGAAGCAACACGGGTTTTGTATATCAAATTCAAAGTATATGAAAATGACAATTTTTTTTCTCATTTGAAAAGACGGACGAAAGATACCAGAGGGACAGTGAATTATAATCAAGAAAAAGGATTAACTGTTGTGTATTCGTTAGTCTCTAAGGACTGCTATTTTCGGAATTATAATAAAATAATAATCATCAATTCAAAATGACGTTTTTTTTCAAGTTCGTAATCAGCAAAGTAACAATGTATCTCATAGCACTTTGTGTACACATGTACTGTATTCGTGTTTTTATTTTGAAATATTCCGTTTCTCGGATCCAATCCCACTTTATGCACAAGAGCAAGCCAAACGATTAATTAGGAATGAACCTTACGAGGTAGAGAGTGATGGCGGACCAACATTTTGTCATTTAAATCATAACATTGACCTTTCGGACTGTTGAGTTCTCAATGCTCTTCAGCTTTGTACCACGTTTGGTCTTGTTAACTTGATTCTAGCGTCGACGTCACTGAAGAGTCTTTTGTAGACGAAACTCCGATCCGGCGTGCAAAATTTAGTCATGGTACCTTTTATCTTTAATGAATTCATTTACAAGATAGTGAGAGGATCAAAAGAAAAACTGGTGTTCTATTCCAATTGGACATCCGTTAAAATATTTCCTTTTGCTTTATTTGTCTACGTGAAAAAGATACTTGAAAAATTACATGGGATACAATTTTCAACTTCCATGTTATCAAAAATATTTTGGAACTTTTAGCTACTTTTTTCTGCAACACTTGACCTGTTTGCGTCAAAAACAATATATTCTACTTTGTGACCTACCGTATAAGACGTATCACCAGATTTGTACTTATACGAGCAACACGACGGGTGCCACATGTGGAGCAAGATCTGCTTACCCTTCCGGAGCACCTAAGATCACACCGGTTCGTGTTGCTCAGTCTTGAGTTTTCTATTTTATGTTTTGTATACTGTTTATTTGTCTGTTTTGGTCGTCTGTTGCCAATTTGTTTTCGCTTCTTCTTTATTCTTGTGACGTCAAAAATTTATAGAAGGACTTGAAATCCTAGCTATAACGGTGGACAAATATTACAATGTTAACTTATTCATCTTATTGTTACTTTAGATAAACTTATTCTTAAAGGTTATCAACTTAACAGTTTAGAAATATCTCAGTTTGTATCTTTGATATCTTTCGTCTCTATTTTACACCCTCTCATCTTGGAAATTATCTTTTTATTTAGTATCATTTATTTTTTTTTTAATCATTTAAAACATAAATGAATATGTATTACTTTATAGTGATGAACACTTAAGAGATAACTGTATTGTATTTGAAGCTTTGCGGACGTCCATCGGTAGTTTTACTGTCGCAAATTGAATTTACCTGGCGACACATAGATTGATGTCCGCAAAGCTTTATAAACAATACAGTAATCTCAATTCTAATGTAAAATAAACCAATCATTCAATTTAAGTCATAATTTCATAAAACGAAAATTCCGCGAAATGATGTTATCTTCTTTGGCGACTAAACTAGGTGACGTGGAACGGGGACTCAATTATTTCCCCCATTACTTCAATGCAATTTTATCCAAATTGAGTAACATATTTATTATTCCCTATATTAGACTGAAAAATTTCAATTACTTTCTCAAAGAGGGACGAAAGATACCAGAGGGACAGTCAAACTCATAGATCGAAAACAAACTGACAACGCCATGGCCAAAAATAAAAAGACAAACAGACAAATAATAGTAAAGATGACACAACAAAGAAAACTAAAGAGAAAGCAACACGAACCCCACCAAAAACTGGGGGTGATCTCAGGTGCTCCGGAAGGGTAAGCAGATCCTGCTCCACTAGTAGCCCCCTTCATGGTTTCTTTGAGAATTATTGGAAGGTCATGACCGGCATTTAAGGGAGCAATACTGTGTTGAGTATTAATAGGGTCATTTTATCAACTTCCTGGTTAAAATTGGAAATAAAATTTGGACCATTTACTTAGACAATCATCCTCCCTATACATTTCCGGATCACTTAAAATTTAACAGAAGTTAAAAGTTTGATGAATACCCTTTAGATATGCTACAAATTTTAGCATCTTTACATAATTTTCATCTCGGTACAATATCACATTTAAAAGATGGTAGATATATTAAGGGACTTCATTCGTGGGTACTGAACTGGTATCCTGTAACTGGGATCCTATTCGTATCAGACCAGATAATCATCTGAAAAAGAAGAAAAATCATGGTATTTGCTCAAAGAAATCATTTATCTTCAATTAAATCAAAATGTTTTTGGTCTAAGTCTTTGTTTTGTGTATTTTGTAGCCAGAAACAAGAGGTCACTCCTTCACACCAAAATAAGCATTATTTTCAATCAAATTTCATTTTGACAAAAGAAGTCTCAAAATCATTTTCTTCAACCCACACAACTTAGTAGATCTAAAATAACTTTTTCATGAAGGAAATGTTAAACAAAAGCATTTTCTTTGTATTATAAGCACCAAAAACTTAAATTTTATCTTCAGAGATATGCAAATGTATGTAAAATGAGACATCTTTGATGTATGTATACAGTGGCTTGAATCTCTATTTCTCTTCACCTTTAACCAAAGAAAAAGAAAATCAGGCATAGATATGTGAAGAACAATAGTAAAGTGCACACACGATTGGAAGCAGAATTCAATATTTACATGAAAACCTTATGAAAGAGTGCACTGGACTATCTTACAATATGATAAAATTTTGGTGCATTGCTGTAGAAACAATAAATATGCTATAGTCTGCCAAATTTGTGCCAAGATTTAATATATTATGAATGAAAGAGTCAGATCAGCAAGTCTTGTAACACACAAGCTGATTTTCATAATTAGAAAACGGAACGCACTCTCTAAATATTGACTGTTTTGATGAAAATTGTCAAAATTTAGCTGATTTTTCATTGACCGTCTCATATGAAATTGCACATTACAGACAAACTATGACTTTAAAGTACAAAACTAGGATTGTTTGACCCTAACTACATATTAAGCTTATTACAGAATTGATCAGTATTATTGATGGCTATATTTCATGGTCCAAAATTGCCTTTTTGCATCATTTTGATGATTTGGTATCAGATTACGCTCACTTTATACAGTTAAAATGACAATAAATGAAGGGTAAACTGTACTTTTAATGGAAAAAATGGAATAAAACTGCAAAATCTAACACTGTCTCTCATATGAAACATCTTTGCAGCCAATATTGTGAAGTTTAAACTAGATATCTACTCAAACTGAGGAAAATCATGTATTTCTAAAATATGATTACATAATAGCCTGTAACATGACACCAATATGATAAATATGAAACAAATCTTTATCATTCTCCAATATTTGGTCAATGTCTATCAAATAAACCTCGATTTGAAGATTTCTATTGCTTAATTCCTTCAGGTGTATTATACCATTGACAGGAACGGGGACCCAATTATTCCCACCATTACTTCAATGCAATTGTATCCAAATGGAGGGGCAGAGTTTTTTTTCCCTATATTAGACTGCAAAATTTCAATTACTTTCTCATACTAATAGCCCCCTTCATGGTTTCTGGGAGAATTCTTGGAAGGTCATGATCGTCATTTAAGAGAGCAATACTGTGTTGAGTATTAATAGGGTCATGTTATCAACTTTCTGGTTAAAATTTGGACCATTTACTTAGACAATCATCCACCCTTTACATTTCAGAATCACTTAAAATTTAACAGAAGTTGAAAGTTTAATGAATACCCTTTAGATATACTACAAATTTTAGTATCTATTCATAATTTTCATCTCGGTACACTATCACATTTAAAAGATGGTAGATTTATTAAGGGACTTCATTCGTGGGTACTGAACTGGTATCCTGTAACTGGGATCCTATTCCACGTCATAGGTATGCTTCTGGCGTCAAACATAAACACTCGGCGTTTTCTGGCTTCTTGTTTGCCTCAAAATGTAATAAAATTTGATAAAAAGGAGATTTCTAGGTGCAAAATGTGAGTTTTTTTGCTTATTATTGGAGAAATCACATGTCAATACATTCCACAATGCATATATCGGGTTCCTTAGTTAGTGACAGCGAGATAGAAAATTTTACGCTTATTGTCATCCAATCAAAACCATTGATACAAAATGATTACATTAGAATAATGGTTTTAAATCCTGTCGATACTTATATTTGGCATTGGACGAGGTCCTGCTTTAACAGACTTTTTATGCAATATCTTTATTAAATCCCTTGGATGTTAACAGATTGATAACTTAGGTTGGGAAAACATGGTTATTTGTTAGTTATTTATCAGTGACTTTTAACTAAGATTAGTTTTTTAGTAACCGCAAGACCTCTTAGTTAGCTACTTTGTGTTTTCTAAATCTTTTATTGCTCTGAAATCGATTTTGGCCGTCCAATTGCTTTAATTTGAAAGTCACTGATAAATCATTTGTATAATAAATACTCATCAGCCGTACTAATTCAAAATCCTGGTTACTTTGTTTAGAGTGAGGGAGTTTAAAACTTATTCGTTACAGTATTCAACTCCACGGTTGCACTTAAAGAAAATTAATATGTTCTGATTATAATTTGAACAATAATTTCAATGTTTTCCTTTACAGCAATCATCGAAGCCGTCATGGAAAGCTGCTGCAGGTATAGCGTTCACAGACATTGTTACCGTAAATCTTCTGCATCGTGTTTATCAAAGAGATTAACAGTGCAGACATATAAATGATCTAAAAATGCACACAATCAAAAACCTATTCACATGACTATAACTGATTTTTGGGCAATAAACAGAGAAAATATAAAAAATTTACAAAAATGAACCGAGGAGATAGCCAGAAGTTTTTTAACAGATAACGTTGAAAAAAGCTATCTTTTGTACGATTGGAATGCAAGGCTAGTTCTACTGCATTGATGTAACAATAATTGAAATATCAACTGGAGAAAGACATCAAATCATTTGGACAAACAAAACATTACTGGCAAAACTAATGTTTTTGGTGATCTGTTGAGATTCTATACCTCTCTATTGTTAAGGCTAAACTGTTATGCATTCTATCATGGATAAGTACTTCAATTCCATTGCAAATAGTCAAAGAACTAATGACTCAATGTCAATTGAAATGCTAAGACTATTTTCACTACGTAATTTTCCGCGAAATATAAACATAAGTATGGTTCGTCTCGCCGGAGCTGGATTTTATTCCACGGGGAATTCTACTGAAACTAAATGTTTTTTGTGTGAAGTAATTTACCGTGACTGGATTTCCGGTGATGATCCTATGCATATTCATAGACATATATCACCTACATGTGACCTCGTTGCGAATGGTAACAGGCAGGACACTATTGGAGAGGAATTGCAAAATGTAAGAAGACAGGAGCGATTGGAAGTACATCCATCTAATCTCAATGGTCTATCAACAGGCAATGTTACGTTGCATTCAAATGAAAATGTTTGTTCATCAAACGTTTTAACCAACGGACAGCAAAATGATGATGTAAGCGATATTACGTCCTCTGCTATACATTTTCACCACCATGATATTGTGGAAGATCAACCCACTGTATTTTCAACTCGAGAGGCTCAAATTCATGATAGTAATACTAATAGTAATAAAACTCCCACCAGTAACTGTAAAAACAATTCACAGAATATTTTTATAAAGAATAATTCTACAGTTTGTAATCATGAAAGAGGTTCTAGTAATAATCATGAAGATATCGGAATTCATACTCAAATTCCAAGATACATAAACTATGCTCCTCTACATGTGCGAATAAGTTCATATGAAGGGTGGCCAGGATATTTAAACCAAACACCAGGTGAGATGGCGTTAGCTGGATTCCTGTTCGCTGGTTACAATGACTACACAAGATGTTTCCATTGTGGCGGAGGACTGAGAAACTGGGAGGCAGGGGATGACCCATGGGTGGAACATGCACGCTGGTTTCCGCAATGTGGCTTCCTAAAACAAAACAAGGGACAGAACTTCATACAAGCAGTATTGAAAAAGCATAATACGGTATTGTAACTTTGAAATGTTTTATTCAATGTGCACAAATAGGCAATGTTTGTTTCAAATGAAAGCAAAGCTTTTATATAACTGGACATTTGATTAATTTGTTCATTTGTTAATGTGTACACATTGACCCCACTTCTTGTAATATATCTTTAAAGCTTAAAAAACTGACCCAATTCGCCTGATTTTTATACAACATTTTGGTTTACACTAAAGTTATTTTGCCTCATCTCACTGTCCTTATGGATATGAATGCTTCACGAAAGCTAATAACGACTAAGAGGATTGTTGTTTTACCTGGTTTGGAAAAGAAATGGTCAAAGAGGGTCACAAACATAACTTTGATTTTCATCCCTGGTTTTCAAATGTTTTGGGTTTGATCATTTGATGAAAGTAAATCCAGAAAAAAACTACTTTTGACGCACACAATATATAAAGTGTTATTTTGATTTTCAAGCTCCTGGCCGATACTATTGATAGTATACTGTTAGTTCCGGAGGGTATCATCAGCTCAGTAATTAATGCTTCGGTACTGACATGATCTTAAACATTTTTTTTAAATTCCCTATTGCTGAAATTAAGAAATCACTAAGAAACTTAGGTCCACCTCTCTCATGCAATATGGACCTTACATAATATTGGTGGTTCTTAATTGTTCTGTTACAACGTTCCCTTGTATTTATACATCAAGTAGCTTTAAATGCTCGGCTTTGAACGTTCCTTATTAATAAGGTGAATCCAGAAAAAAAGCTATAGGCGCACGAGATTTATAAAATGTTATTTTCAATTTCACTAGTTATGATGAACAGCAGTTTTTGGTGCCGTATGTTTAGGACAGCATTTGTTTTCGGTTTAATTATGGCATTTTCAGAATCTTTCAATATTTTCGTCTGTCTATGAAATTATTTATGTTTTCACAGACAATTTTTACTTAATTTAGTTGGTGAACCCTTGTGAAATTTAGGCACATTATTTAGTGTCTCAATGCTTTAATGCATGTCTAAGTCGGAATGTTTAATAATATACCGTAGTTCGTCCGTCAACATTTCGTTCGACTACTCAAATTTGCTCCTATTAATTCTCATTAAATTTCAACACAACATTAGGATTAACGATTGAAGGCTTCCCTTTCATTATTTGAAAACAAAATATGGTTCGTTCCATAGATATGGGACTTTAACCGAATACGAATGCATTTTATCACATATTTGACACTAACTGCAGTATTCTTGGATTGTCTTCTTAAACCTCTATACCATTGTTGGGGTTGATTTAGTAAACTTCATTTCGATTATGAAATTCTCTGACTTGTTGTTCCAGAGTATAATTGTTTCACATGTTGTATCATAACTTGAGTATGCTTGGATTTATTTACTGGAGACTTAATATTATTGTTAGAATTGATGCACGTAAAATAACATTCGATTTGAACATTTTCTGATATGTGAGAGTTGAAGTCATCTATATTGGTATAATTGATCACTTGATGGTAAAAGCATGAAACTTTGCACAGTGCTAGTTATGGTGCTAATGAATATTTTTAGATATGGAGCCACGAAAAAAAATCCAATATAATCAAATTTAAAGATGGTCGATATAAGGTACTTGGAGTACAACACCTGATAATGATGTTTACAAATATGCAATATATTAGTACATATTTTGGAATGGTAGAAAATGAAAGCTCATGGCATTAGTATCTAAATATTATCAGGTGTTTAGCTTTGTTGCTCACAATCCTGCTCTCAATTCAAATATATATACCCTCAATGAAAAATGCTGAAACAAACGTGTGTTCGTTGTTCTCAAATAAATAAAATGAAAACACCAATTGACAATTTGATCTGATAGTTATTGTTAACTGAAATTTTTGGTGGTATTTTTGAAGTAAGAATTAGAGTAATTTGGAAATTTTCAGATTTTCAGATTACTGTTTAAGATTTCTTATGAACTTGGTAATTTTAATAGGGTAAAACTTTGAAATATTGAAAAAATAGCCCTTATCCAAAAATATTTGAATTGAAAACTATGAATTTCAAACTCTGAGTACCTTTTATCATAACTCCATAATAATTTGGTAAAAAATCATTAGTATCAACATACAACATACGCTAACACTGCTTCAACAGAGTTATGCGGAAGAACAACAGATTTCGACTCTTCATAACTTTAACGATTATCATCATGAACTGGTAGACCGATTGGATATTTCGGTGTCTCAACTCACTAGCGACATACTTTCGCGATCTTAAATCTTAATGTACAAAAAGTAAAAAGTAAAATAACAAAAATACCGAACCCTAAGGAAAGTTCAAAACGGAAAGTCCTTTATCAAATGGCAAAAAAAAAAAAAGATGAAACACATCAAACGAATGGAAAACAGCTGTCATATTCTTGACTTGGCAGAGGCATTTCCTCAGCAAACTGGATACGTAAATAGTGTAAGGGTCTCCTGCTATGTATGCATAACTCTTCATGAGAGTTCCGACTCAGTAAAGTTATCTGATCTGTTGTTTTACCGATTGAGTCCTATTTCCGATTGTAACATTTTGACTGGGTGTGAATTCCCATGAAGAGTGATGCATGCATGGCAGTAGCTTACCCTGTTTAATCATCCAGTTTGCTCCATGTGATTTTTTGTTGCCTTGGTTTGTCTCTTCTAAATTGGTTAACGAGATTTGAACATTAGTAAACTGCTGTCCATTTAATATATTATGTCAAATAGAACTATATTTGTCAATTTTTTATTGCTTTTCAGGACCCTAAAAGTAACGGAAACTGTAGCTACAGTCATAAACAGTCACAGGAGTATCACACTGGTACTCCAGATAAAAATACAACCACGGTTTCCGCTTCCAGTTTGCAAGTTTCAAGATTTAATGTCCAAGAACAAGCTAATAATGTTACATCTCAGGAAAGAAGTAACAGAATAAACACCTTGGGTATGCAAACAGTTATATCTACTAGTAACAATAGTACCACTACAGCTTCTGGTGTAAATATCAGTTCTAGTTCTGTTTCTACTACAAATATGAGACATAATCAACAAGATATATTGCAGACTGTTGTAGAGATGGGATTTAGCGGACATCAAGTTGTCGATGCTGTGAATGAAATTATTAGACTCAATTCAGGTAAAAGGCAATTGAAATATATGAAATTAAAATGTTCGGCTACGGTAATGAGCAATGGGTTTTTGAGCAATTCAATTGTAAGTGTTTTATAACAATGTTATTATATAAGAAAGTCATTAAGTTATTCTTTGGAACCCCCTTTCATCTATATGTAAAAAAAATCTATTGTCATTCAAAAGAAAAGTATTCTGAATAGTTCAATTCGTTAGGCTTGTTGAAAAAATAATCTGTTTTTCCGCGATAAAGAAATGTCATGAAGAAAAAGAAAAAACCCATAGCCTCCCCTTTTATCAACTAAGTTGGTACAATAAGTAACTAACAAATTGACTTGTATTTTTCATACACCATTATCGGGCGGTAACTTGCTTCATTTAGTTATAGATATATTTTCATTCGGCCTGGATAAAGATTTATGAAGTTTATATCTAAATTAATTAGTGAGTTTTATTTCACATTAAAAATGAGCCGTAGGGCGTAATAAAACTTGAAAGCTTCAGAAAAGAATGCCTCACTTTAGTGTGGTCGGTAAAATAGGATGCAAATCCTGCAAATCTTTGCAGATATTAATATTCATTGACAGATAATGCATATTTTAAGGTTTTTCTTATCGTATAACACACCTCGGGGTGTCAGAATTGCCCCTCGGTGTGTTTTACGACAAGAAAAACCTAACAATATGCATTATCTATAACATATCATAAAAGACATGTAAGGCTTTTAATTATTTGATTATGGCCCTTTTCTTCGGGTAATACCTGTATCACGTCAATAATATGGTAGTCATTTTTTCTCTTAATCCGTTGATTGATAAGGTTTGATTTTATTACTTTTTATGGACTTCCTCTCTTTTGAATTTGTCTTAATGCCTGTACCAAATCAGGGATATGGCAATAAATTGTTTTTAACTTTTTCCGTTGAATGATAGCGTTTGATTTTGTTGGTTTTTCTGGACTTCCCCTTTTTAAATTTGCCTTTGAGATCGATATTTTTGTTACATTTACGTACTTAAATGGACATACTAGATAAGACATGTTTTGAGAATAATTATAGGTAGGCACACAAAAACTAAAAGTCTATCTGTGTAAGTGAACTGTTTTCCACGATATCACAGGTATCAGTTGTATCATATATTTTTGAGATACCATGATCTACGTAAGGACGCATTTCAAATTCGAATAGATAAAGAAGACAAATATATGTAGAATGTAACAAACAAAAATATTGAAATCACATGAACTCCGAAAGGACCTAGACCTAATGTGTCGACAACCATAGCATAGGTGGTCACTACAACGCTCCACACAGAGAAAAAAAAAACATATGTTGGTGCCTATATAGGAAGTTTTTTTTAAACAAACAGAAATCTCAGAATGCACTGTTTGTTTTGATAATATACAGTTTCGAGTTTTCTGGTTTTTGAAAGGTCTTTAAAAAGACTCTTAATAATTTCACATTAATGGAATTCTGCAGGGATCGTAATATTTTCTAATTATTATAAGCATCAGACGAAATGGTAGAAGATGCCAAGTGGGCAATACAAAAATTCACTTATTGAAAATTGTTTGAGCAACAAATCTCACCAAACATAATAGATACTCATGTGCTCCAGTAGGATATACATTTTCTGTTCCACTAGTGACAGCCGCCAGTCTTCTTCTTTTTAGCATTGATAAGTCATATCGAATTATAAAAGAAACAATATCAGATTGACAAATTGCTCTTGTCTAACACTAACAGAAAAAAAATCACATTCCAGGTGAAGGAGGTACAGATGTTTCAGCAACAGATATCATGAATGTTCTACTCAAAGAGGACCATCAGCGAACAAGACAAGTTTCAAATGTACCAGAAACTAGAACAGCAGAAGGAATTGGTGGTGTTTCTTTCGATGGTAAGGTTGAGCACTTGTTTCAAGCAATAAACGTCAACACAAACATCGACTAATTCATAACGTTCAACAGCTAATGTGTGAAAAACTTGTTCTGATGCTTCAAAAAGCCTTGTAAAGGATTGTTTTTGCAACATGTTACCCACTTTTTATGCCACGAGTGTTTGTGTTATAAGCATGTGTGCCATGCAAAAATGGTTTGTAACTATGATAATCGCAACTATTCCGTTGATCATGAAATAAAGGATACAGCACATAAACCAATATATTTGATTCATATTGTGAAATATATAGAAACGACAATGAAGATTGTTAGACTCTTAAACTTTACAACAAAAGTAATTATTTCAATTATACTATATCGCGTACATTCCTTTACTTTGAAGAATCATTACAATTATATATCTGTATATGGAGTATATATCTTCCATTTGATACACGATTCCTGGACTTGAGTTTCCTCTATGTTGTATCATGACTTCCTTGAGAAATATGTTGAAAAAGGCTCCTGACGGTAAAGTTGAAGTCAATTTTTCGAAGGCAGTATAGACGCCATCAAAATTCTATTATGGAATAACTACGTCGATGAAGATCACAAACATGTTCCGAATGTGATAGCAACTATTCCGCATATTTTTTTCCTCAATTATAACCTCACCACTCATCACCTAAATTGATTTGCCATTAGTAATATGTTTGATACCACTAGAAGAGAATGAATACTTTACCCTTCCGGCGCACATGTTATCTCCAGTTTTTGTTGGTTTCTTGTCGACCAATCTGAAGTTTTTATATGTAGTGTTATGAGGACTGGTTTTTATCCGTCGCATCGTTTGCTTTTTACCGTGTTGTTCATGTGTCATTCATCCTTGGTTTCTTCTCCCCATTTCCCAATTTGAAATTTAGATGTGTAATATACGATATTGCTTCGAAACATTTGCTCAATCTTATCTTTTGAACAAGTGACAACACGTACAATCGAACGTTTTGCATTTAGTCAAATAATTAAAATCAATGGTTTTTTTAATTGTAGTTTTACATTTTTCTCTTAATAAACTATCCGAATAATAGTTTGGCACTATATGCACAATAAATCGTGCATCATACATCTTTGAATATAATCGGGCGTTTCGAGTACTTACAGTCACTGCTTAAGAAAACCAAATTACAAACCAAATCGTAGATCTCACCAGAAACTATAACTAACATTTCTTATCTTTGTTCTAGTGACCAACCCACCCCCTATTTCGGCATTATTGAAAAGTGTTTGTGTTATTTAGTTTTTATAGGATATTGCTGCTCTATTTTATATTTTCTTGCTCAATTAATTGCAACCTTTTTATTTTTTAGACACTCATTTAATTTTCGAAGAAAACCGACAGTTACAAGAACAAAGGCAGTGTAAAGTTTGTAAGGAGTTTGACTCTACAATTGCTTTCTTGCCATGCGGACATATTGTCTGTTGTACAGATTGTGCCCCGGCAATGCGTAAATGTCCCATTTGTAAAACGTACGTTAAAGGTACTGTAAAGACGTACCTGGCATAAAGTGAAAGTGGGGATTTGCACGATAAGTGGGATCGCTGATTTTGGTCACTTTGGCCTTTTTGTTTAGTTTTAAATTTGCTTTTCGAAATTTGAAACTTGTTTTTTTTCATTTTTTACTATTTTGGTACCTAATTTTTACTAGTGTCTTTATGACCACAAAACAAATTTAAATACAGGATTTGATCTAACAAAACCAAGTTACTTACTCCAGTTATGTAATAGTATTATATATATGTATATATGGTGTACTAATTTTTGCACCTTTTGTTTGCGGTATATCATCTTTTCCGCAAGTTTATTGTTTTCTGTTTGGTATGAAATAAATAGTTAAGATCCATTTTGTTACATCTGGTGATCCGTTTATTTGGCAATCGCCAATGACAGTCAACAGGGTTTAAGAACATCCGTTGTTCGACCTGCTAGTCAAATGCGTTTTGTTAAAATATACTTTTTCACTTTTTTGGTCTTTTGGAAAATGTTGTTTGTGCTGTATTTAGACCCCTCTACCAAGAAATTTGTTTTGCATGCACACGTATAAAAATTGCGGCTTTTATCCAACGCAATCATAGGTTTGAACGTTGTTTTCAATTTAGACTTGTTTATATTTTTTCGTTTGGGCTTGTATTATATTTGCCCTCGGGTTTATATGATCCGTTCATTCTATTTCGACTCTTCAAAATTCAAGAGTCTATCCTAAATTGAGGTAAATTATATGGCCTTCAAAATACCGTTTCGATTCCTAACATCACTGAAGAGACATTAATTGTCGAATTCTGTATATGGTGTACTAATTTTTGCACCTTTTGTTTGTGGTATACCATCTTTTCCGCAAGTTTATTGTTTTCTGTTTGGTATTGAATTAATAGTTGCGATCCATTTTGTTACATCTGGTAATCCATTTATTTGGCAATCGCCAATGGCAGTCAGCAGGGTTTAAGAACATCCGTTATTCCACCTGCTAGTCAAATACGTTTTGTTAAAATATACTTTTTTTTACTTTTTTCGTCTTTTGGAAAATGTTGTTTGTGCTGTATTTAGACCCCTCTACCAAGAAATTTGTTTTGCTTGCACACGTATAAAAATTGCAGTTTTTATCCAACGCAATCATAGGTTTGAACGTTGTTTTCAATTTAGACTTGTATATATACATTGTTGTGCTGATATTTAGAGTAAATATGAATATAATATGTGTTTTCAGCCGTGTATCACTTTCACTGGTGATCTAATCAATGGATATGTCGTAGAGTTGTAACTTGTTTAGACGCACTTATCAAAATAATTATTTCTGTGACTGCATCATACGAAGCTGTACGATAGCTAATATGCAATCAATTCCATCTTCATGCCTAATATATCATGTACTGTGTTACAACTCTGATTCTACTGACGAGGAAAGGTAACACTTGGCCACCAACAGCTGATTATTTAGTTCAGTCTAGGTGGCCGAGTGGTCTAGAGCGCTGGACACAGTGCAGGAGATGTTGTCTTGATCTCTCAATAGCATGAGTTCGAATCCCGGCGAGGGAAGAACAAAAAAATAGGCTTCTGCAAATTTGCAGATTTAACATTGTTGTGCTGATATTTAGAGTAATTATGCATATATACATATATACATATTAAATGACTACATCTCATGTCTTCGAATAGATTGGCACATTTTGTTAGCAGTAGCAAATATGAATGTTATTGTGTTTGTCACATTCAGTGTTGTTTTCAGCACCCGGTCGAAATCGCTGCTGGTTGACTATCGGTTCAATATGCAGTTCTTCGGCAGTTAAATGATTTATAACTACCCTTTTTAAAATAGTTAGTTTATAAATTTATAAATTATAAAGAAACTAAAGGTTCACCTTCGTTAGGCAAAGTTGACCTTAGATGAATTTGGCTATTATTGTATAGGTCCTTTTTGAACATACAGCTCTTCAACTGTTTCTTTTATACATCCTTGACTTTCAAATATACGTTTTGGGCGTTCCTGATGAAGGTAAATCCAAAAAAGCGTCTCAGACGCATGCAATTTATAAAGTGTTTTCATTTTTGTAGTGTTGATGAACATTGGTGACATTTAATACATCTCATGTTGTTTACATCATTATTTAAGAAAAAAATCGGTTAACATAATTTGCAGTCTAGTAGATAGAACCATTGATGTGATATAAAAAATAGGACTTTAAAACAATATTACTTTATATTTTCATTGCCTATGATTATTCTGTTTAATATTCATTAAATTTGATTTTAAGAAAAATCTTAAAAAGATGAACATGAATATATATTTGGCATGCACATTACAGAATAAAGGTTGATTGATGTTGTTGTTTAATGCTACCTTCAGTTACATTTTATGTATCATGGAGGCCACTTTTTATTGTTGAACAAAGCCATAATATCCGGTGAGACCCGCTGACCTATGGCAGGAAAATAGGATAAAAGCATATTACAATTAATAAGATACTATATGATGAAATTTACTATAAGAAAATTTTTTAAAAATTCGCATAAAACCTAGAAATTAAAATAACGTGAAGTGGGAAACAGCTGTAATACCTCTCGTACTTAAACTAAGTTTTTTGTTTGGTAAATTTTACAGTATAAGAATGATGTTTTGATCTATAAAGTCTGTGTGCACTGTATTTTTTACAGAGTTATCAGCAATACAAATAGTTGAGTACAATGTCATAGGCGGAGCATATCTAGACCTTGGAAAATCCAGGAGGTGTATATCATAATAGTTAAATTTCAATACGTTTTTTGAATTTTGGTACAAAATATGAATAAAAATGTACGTAAGAGTTAGAAAATAAGATAGATCTTGATATAGCCCTGACAACATTTAATGTTCTGTTAAGGAAAAAAATAATAGACAATGAGTGCATCTGGTATGATGAAGACGAGGTGTCACATGTGGAGAAGGATCTCCTTACCCTTCCAGGGTGGATTTCGTTTTTCGTTTTTTCGTCACGGCGTTTTCAGTTTGTCTTCGACTTATGAGTTTGAGTATCCCTTTAGTAGCTTACGCTTATCTTTTATGTGGTACAGTCTGTCCAAAATCAATCAAGCCATGGGCTTATATAAATGACACCACTGTATAACAGTTACTATAACCTGAAGTAATCAGTCTAATGCATAAAAATACAATGACAATGTACTGACATCGTTCCTTGTTAAATAGTATAACGGCAAAACGATAGTAAAAGTTCGACAAAATTTTTTTTTTTATTCAAATATTTACAAAAACGGAATAGTAAATAATTATGCGTTACCAGCCCTCAGTAAAATTTCGGAGTTGGCATTCAAACTCCACTGATACACTTTTGAATTACAAGACAATAAATCGAGATCATTACGTCCACATGCATGTCGCCTATGATGTTATGCCAGTTGGAGATTATTACGCATGTGCTCAGCATGTTTAGTCATGAAAATTAAGTAAGCTCAAATGGCGAAACTTTGTATTCAACAGGAAAACCGAACCCTGAACAAAAATTAATTAATTTACAGGTTACAGGTTACACGATGAAGTACCTGTTCTTTCATTTATAATATGAAGCAGAAAAAAGTGGAATCGTCATTCTATTATTGCATGTGTTATTTGTATTTAATTGTGTATATTTAAATGAATGGGGTCTGATCAATGTTGATTATGTTTACGAATTTAGGCATTCTCATTGTTTTTCATGGAACTTTTGTAATTCTGCTAACCGATAAAGCCCCAACCACCAGTTTTTTATGGGGTTTGTGTTGCTCAGTCTTTCGTTTTTTATGTTGTGTTTTGTGTACTATTGTTTGTCTGTGTGTCTATTTCTTTTTTAGGTATGACGTTGTCAGTTTATTTTCGACTTATGAGTTTGAATGTCCCTCTGGTATTATTTGCATCTCTTTCATATCAAGTAACTGCAAAATAGAATTCTATTTCCATCATAACAATTTTATGTTAAAAAAATTAAAAGTGTTTACCAATGTAGAATGCAATCAGTAGGTTCCTCAAGTTTTGTTTAAGTAGAGAGAGAAAACATTTTTTTCATTGCCAATATTACGTCCTGTTTCATAGTGTATAACTTTGTTTTGATTTAGAAATTCATTCATAAACTAACGTAGTCTTGAAAACGAAAAAAAAACAAAACGAATATGTTTGTGTTCGCCTCAAACATATAAAATCCGTCCAAGTATAGTATATTGATACCTATATATGTATAGTCCAGTTGAAGCTGTTGTAATCTTCGTCATTTCCTAATTTTTAATTAGACTGAATGTAGAAGAAATCTAATTCTATTTTATATATTCTGTAAAAATATAATTGAACCATGAGTATGATCATCATCATCGTCATATTCAACAATCAAGACTTCAAAAGCAATGTATGATATCACAGTAAACACAACCAACAATGAATAGTCCGTGCCATACACGAGCATGGAATCAGAGCTTTATTGCAATGTTAAATTTTAAAGACAGGTTGCATCTTTTATTAGAAACCTATATATATATATATATATATGTATATTGTTTTGTATATTGATTTATTAACTGTTTATTGCATTATTATTTATGTTTATTATTATATATTTACATCATGTTAAGTCTGTTACACTTATATGTGTCTGACCATTGCTTCAAAATAAAATCTTGAAATCTTGATTACATTTATTAATTCTATTTGATTTCTAGTATGTTTTATAAGAGAAAATTTCAACAATACGATAAACGTATTTCCACGGCAGTACTAAAAGAGAGGCAAATGATAATAAAGGGACATTCAAACCAATAAGTCGAAAATATACTGACAACCCCCACTGCATGAAATGATGCATTTAATAGGAAATTAAATGCATATTTTATGCATATTAAATTTCAAATTGAAAAAAATTATATGCATTTACTTCATTGGAAAATTTCTAATTTAACATAAGTTTAACCTAAATTTAATAAAGCAAATAAATTCCCAAATTTCAACCTAGTTTAAAGACATTTTTAAATCTGAATAAATTTCAAATTTAAAGAATTTTAATATGAATTAAATTAGAATAAATTTCAAATTTAAAGAATTTTTAATATAAATTAAATTTGAATAAATTTCAAATTTAAAGAATTTTTAATATAAATTAAATTTAAATAAATTTCAATTTTAAAGAAATTTTAATATAAATTAAATTTGAATAAATTTCAAACTTAAAGAATTTTTAATATAAATTAAATTTGAATAAATATAGAATTTAATAAGAATTAAATTTCCAGTATAATAAAAAAATTAAATTCAAATAAATTTCAAGATTATTTATGAAATATTCTTAAAATTTAATTATATGTAAATTCAAATAAATTTCTTGTTTTGTTTATGACTTATTTAGATTAGAACTTCCATCATATTTAATACAATTTAAAGTCAACATAAATCCTGTATATCTGAGGTACCTACAAAACAATCATGGAAATAAAAAATAAAGAAAAGGCAGAATTTTTCTCTCTGCTTGATTTTTTTTACTGGAGGATGGGTGTGGGTTTTTTTTTTTTTTTTACTTTAACTCAAATATCTGGTTTGGAAATATCTTATATTGAAACAAATCATAGATCCTCCAACTTTTCTTATCCATATTTACAAAGTATAAGATGTGAAAGGCATGGATTGTTCCTCTGTTAAATAACAGTAGAATAATATTTGTGGTTTCAAATGGCAATGTGCAAATGTATGATTTGTCAGTACCATTGAAGCCTGTAAAGATGAAACTACAACTATAATCCAAAGAACATAAGTCATTCATTTGCAAAGCTTAATACCAGTTTGTAAGTATGTCTTTACCTATATGTAAATAATGCCAATGCCTCTGATTTTATATAAGAACTTGAAGTTTTAGAATTTAAGACATACAAATAACACAAAATCTAGATATAAACTACAGGACAAGGCTATCTCTATGTGTGATTTGGATTTTTACAATATATAATACAGGAGATAACAAAAACTGTTGAACAAAGCATAATCATACACAACAATTTCCTGCATTTTCTTATTGTCATCCTGTCTTGGGCATAGTTATTTTTATCACTTCTAACCAAGTTAGAATAATAAAAAACAATTTTGAATGATCTCCCTTTGTATATACTTCAATAAAAGAAACAAAGTCTTTATCAAATTAATTTTATTCAGATACTGACAAAACAGAGTTGTTTTGATTATCAATAAAAAAAAAAACTGTCAGAATGTTTGTTATATCAATGAACTACAATTTTACTATGCAAACAAATATAAAAATACACTTTTTTTAAAATAAGTTCAGTTCTACATCAAATTCAAACTAGTTAATAAAATAATGGTATGTGGCAAAGCAACATGCTTACTAGTTAAGTTTGCTTGTTTCAGAATCATTACAATAAGGTTATAACAAATAGCAAACATAAGCAGCTTTTTTTTTCAAGTTTGTCATCATAAAATTATTTATGAATAATCTCCCTTGCTAGCATTATTTGTCAATCTAAAAAAAAACCAAATACATCAAAAAGCAAAAAACAACAAACATAAACATAATTGCTAATTTCAAAACCAATCAGGCTGCTCAGACATTAATTAAAATTTTATGGGATCTCATCCCAAATGCTGTATGCAAGTCAAAAATAATTAAACATTAAGTAAATTTTTCAAATATGTTCAATTGAATAAAATAGCACACAAATAAACTTTTATCGACAAAATTATATGATTTCAAGCACAAAATTATCAAATATTAAATGTACTAGGACAATTGACGAAAATAATAAGTTTATTAATATGAATTGTTCATTAACTCTTAAATAGAAATAACATTTGGTAAACTGTTAAATATAAAAAGTTATCTCCCATTGACCAAGAGATATGAATAATGTGGTGAAATCTTACATGGAAAATCTAGACAGCAAATACCAGAGACACTCAAATGAGCCACACCCAAATTATTATTCAGCATTTAATTAATTAGAAAAGGTAAAAGAAAGTTAATTTAAAAAAAAAAATATGTAGGTTAACCAAACACAATAACATAATCTGATGACACAGATTTGTTGCACCTGTAAATAATTTTGATAGTAAAATGCAAATGTTGAAATTAAATAGCAATAATTTATCTTGTATACTTAAAAAAATAATCAAAGTCAAATTCAATAAACCATAATATTCCGTTTGACTTATTTTCAGAGGTTCCCCTTAAACTGATCTACCGGTAATCTTTATATAAAACATGTAAACTATAATTCTAAAGTAAATCATGAAGGTATTTTTTTCTTTGCAAATTCCAAAAGTGTACATTTGAATTGGCCCTATTCAAAATTTAAAGATTATTTTTTTGTCAAATGCCCTTAAGCAAAAACCCATGCAAGGTCTGGAGATTTCTTGGGACAAGGCCTCTCTGATGGCCTGCCAACAACTCTCTTAGACCTCAGCTTTTTGCCCTGTGCATTGAGCTGTCTCTGGTATTTACTGTCTAGTTTATCCATGTAAGATTTAAAATCTTTAGACAGCCAAGTCAGAGGTCTTGTGATTAGGCGAGTTTCATCTTCAGAATCGCTGTCCTCACTAGACATAAAATCTATTTTCATGGCCTTCATTAATTTGTCCTCTTCCGACACTGGCAGTTTCTTGGCTTGAAGGGCCTTTACTCTATTTTGAAGCTTCTGTAATAAAAAATTGTTTAATTTGATTTAACTTGACTAGTGATATCTATGAGACAAAAGCAAAATTTTCTGCATGCAGTAATTCTAACTTATCAAAATCATATGTTAAAATATATTCTAATGAATGACCCAAAAAATATCCTGTGGAATAATTAATATTAAAAGAATAACTAAAAGGTGTGATTATCCCTGTGACTATGAATGAAATTAAGCTGCATTAGAAAACAAGAAATGGGTTCATAGTACATTTATACTCTGCTCCCATTATGATTTTCTATTTTCAGTGGACCATGAAATTGGGGTCAAAACTCTTAATTTGGCATTAAATTTTAGATCATAACATAAGGCACATGTGTTTTTTCCTCAAGTGTGACAATAATGTTTTGTACTTACCCTGTTCTTTCTCCCATACAAAACCATTTTTCTGTTGTGTGAGGCCTTTTTTCCATCCTCCTCCATTTGTCTCCTCTGTTTTATGGTATTGAAATATGTCTCAATACCAGCTGAAAAGTGAATATAATGTACAAGTCAGTAATAGGACTATTCAATTTAAATTTCCCACCTAAGGGTGGAACACTAACAATTTTTTTTTCTGTTGGGGGTTTGGTAAAATTTTAATGTGAAATTAAAGGTTGTGGGGGTAGTCACAACTCATTTTCTGTTTGATGCTGGTGTAAATTAGATTAAATGACAGTCATTACAGTGGTATTACTACAGAATCTTTTCCATAGGTGGCAAGTCTTGGAAGAAAAGACATTTACTTGATGGGGCATATATTTTCAAAATTTTCCTAAAGGAGGGGTCTAAAAATTAAATAGCATTCCTCCTTTTCCCGCCAAGGGGAATTGTTATTGGAATAGCTCATCATTGAGTTTTTTGTCCTTTTCAATTTCAATATTAAGTACTCCCATTTTGTTTTCTTTTGACATTTAAGAAGTATTTGTAAATAGCACAATCAGCTGTATACAATATAACCCAAAAATATAATCAGAAACTGAATTACTGCCCTTTTAATCTAACTTAATCTATCTATTTACTAATTAATCTAATTAATAATATTAAATCAATATAAATATGCAAAATTTCAAACAGAAAATAAGTCAGTCATTGTTTGATTGGCTAATTCATTTAAATTTAAAAATTGTTTTGAATTATTTTTCTGTTGTTTTTTCCTGCAATTATTTTTCGTCTCTATTACATAAATGAAGGTTTCAATCGTTTGATTAAAATGCGGGAAAATTACCAGATATCAAAGAATGGATTTCATATAAAAATTTAACTGTTTAAATGATTTACATGTTCGAATTCCATATAAAATAAAAGAATGGGACAAAGATGCTCCACTTCCCACTTGCATATATGTAATAAAGGGGAATACCTGGAGAAAAGTGAAAGGGATGCCATTTAAATTAGAACCTGAACTATGTTTTGTAGTAAAAAAATTTGTGTAAATTTTTTATACCATTTGATTAAAACTAAATTCCAATGTAGCTTAGTGACAGGGTTAAACTTTTATGCCCCTTGACTAGCAGGAAGGGCATACATTATTTTAAATATACCATAAATATCATAGTAAATTTGCATTATTATTGTAAAACACATGTACTTACTTTTAATAACACCTTCTTCTGTTGTGGGATATTGTCCTTTGACATAGACACATATAGCCTCAGACAACTCTTTGTTTTCTCCTGAGGAATACCTAGAAGAAGATTAAAGGTTAATATATATTGGCCAAGTAATTGCATATTAGGAAAACACTAATGGTTTGAGGAAATACCAGTTTAAACCAATAAATGGTATTTATAGGGATAAAAGTACAAATGTAGTTAATTTTTCAATCATGCATGGATCATAAAATGATTTTTACCATGAATCAGCTTTTGACAAATAGTAATAGTTCATTTTCATACTTTTTTTACTCCTAAGTCTAACAACACTTTTGAACAGGAGTAAACAAGTATGAAAATGGACTATTAATATTAAAGCTTATTTGAAAAACTATATAAATGTAATCAGGCTTGGATGTTAAAAAGTGTTGTTAGGGTTAGAATTATTTATTTTTTGGACAGGTTACCTACTCTATGGTAGGAAATTCTGAGCCTCTGTCAAGTAACCCTAAAAAATTTAAGCTTAGTACAATTTGTGCAATTTGGGGAAACATGATTTATTTTCTGATGATTTTGTCATGTATAGAAAACATTAACATTTTATTCTCAAATTACACCAATTGTAAGCTTGATTCTACTTTATTGAGTTGCTCTTATCTTAAATAAGTACCAAATTTGCTTTCACTCAAGAATGTAAGCTGTTTAAAAATGTATGTACTCAGGTGTTATAATACATGTATATTGTATTTTTAAAATGGACTACTGAATCGTCAAAAATATTTTGCTTTAATGTTGTTTTTTTTTAAAACTTGACTTACTATATCTGCCAGCAAATTTCAAGAGCCAGATTTTAATTGTTGTCCTTGGTTACTGTCTGTCAAATTTGTTTTCATTAATTACTTTCTCATAAATCAGGACAATTGCTTCACATTTTGTCAAGATGTAGCTTACTATATGGTATGGGTTTTGCTCAAGGTTTAAGAATTGATAAATGGTAACCTATTGATGGTAAAATTCACTTCATTAGAACTCTATTTGTTAGTTTTCTCATTGGCAATCACACTGCATCTCCTTAATTCATATTGGCAGTGGTTAACTTACAGTATTTTCCATAAAATTTTAAAACAATTAAAAGATAGTACATTGAGTACCATTATCCTAAGAATCAGCCTAGTCATGTCAAATTCATGTAATTACTATAACTTACTTCAAAATAGAACCAGCTGCTGTTTTACATGTCCAGACTAAATTGTTTTCTGTAGTGCTATGCCTATAAGCATCACGAACAGCTTGCTGCAAAATAAAACATAAAAAATTCTTAAACTATTTTGATTGAACAAATGTGTACCGACAGGAGATCATATGTGGAATTTATATGTTTTCAAACTGGTCTATATCAGGAACATTGCATATTATATTTGTAAAACTTGGTCTATGCAAAGGGAAGGGTGGACAGGGGGATCCAGGATTTCCAATACTTGAAATATAGACTTTGCAATGTTTGGCTATTTGAAACATTATGATTACATGTATATATTTTGCCAGACAGTTGAACATACATATAACATGTATAAGGTATATTTACAGATTTTAAGCAGGTTAAGCAAGTATATAAGCTGAGAAAACTAAAAAGACATACATGTACATGTATGTGTTCCTCAATCTTCTATCAATGGCATGTCTCTAAGTGAATTGCATGACTTACATGTACATGTATATTATTTGATAGATTTTTTTATTAATAATTAAATCAGAAAATGTAGACAATATATTTATTTTTATAAATATATTGTCTTCATTTTTATAAATATATACATGTATACATGGTATATACCTTTATATGTGCAGGAACATGGATGGCTGTTTTATTTCCTTTTCTCTGAGTTCCTGCATGCAAATCGATTCTCCGTAACAATTGATGTAATTCTTCAATTTTTTCACCTTGATCAGTCAAGGTCTTCATCAAAATTTCTGTTTGGGAATCCATCATCTTCTTCATTAGCTAAATAAAATGAAACTTTTTGAGAGATTGTAAATATACATTATATATAATAGTCTAAAATTCTGTCATATCAATGCCTTTTTAACTTTGATTTACTGTTAATATACATGTATGGTACATATATATATATCATGTACTATATAGCTTTGAACTGTTTTCAAAAATTACTCTATAATGAAGGAAGTATGGTGACCTATGGCTAGTACATGTGTAATTGCATAGACATCAGTTGGTCTTTGGTGGATACCTTTGTTTTTTGTAAAAATACCACATTGTTGATTTTAACCTTCTTAATCTATAAATAAATATCACTATGAATTAGAATGTATACCAATATCATGGGTACAAGTCATATTGTCACCTGGTCAATTAGGTACCTATAGAAAAAGTCAATTATCCAATAATCTTTAAAATTTCAGCACTTGTAATTAAAAGTAAGAATTCAAAATACACAATAATTGGCTTTCTGTTTAAAGTTTTCTCATTACTCTATTAAAAATGTTTTTGATTGGTTATCACTTTAAACATTGTTAAAAACTTATGAACTTATATAATATATTACCAAATATTTTTTAACAAAGTGAATTATTTTTGAAAAAATTATGGCAAAAAAATGGTGTCTTCAATACTTTACTTGCAAACCATAATACAAAAATAAGGAGATATGATCATGATGATTGCCAATGAGACAACTATCCACAAAAGTTCAAATGAAGTGGATGTAAGCAATTATAGGCAACCATAAGCCTTCAACAAGAAATAAACTGTTATCACAGAGATATGTCGCACCTTTTTGTAATTTTGATTATGCAAATGTGGAAATTAAAATAGCAATCTTTATCATATTGAATAAGTTATGCAAATATTCAAAGTCAATGAACCATGACTGAAGTACATGTACATGGCTAAAAAATCTCCATGTAAATGAGATGTGCCAATGCTAACACAACTGCATACCAAATAGCATTGACTTATTATAAGTCATGTAAGTCATTCCCTTTAAACCTAAACCTAACCACAAACATTAACTTGTAAACTATATACATTGTATGCTAAAGTTTCAAAGTCAATGAACCATGAAGAGGGGATGGGGCTAAATAATCTCCATGGAAACGATACTTGCAAATGCCAATAAATTTGCATACCTGTGAATTATCATTGACTTAACATAAGCAGTTCATCTTAAACTGATCTAATCACAAACTAATACATGTAAACTAAGCAAAAGTTTCGAGGTCAATAGACCATGACTGAGTGGATGGGGCCAAATATTCTCCATGGAAATGAGATGTGCTAATGTTTACACAACTGAATACCAATTAACATTGGCCTACCACTAATGGTTCCCCCTAAACTGACCTTATCACAAACTAATACATGTAAAAAAAGCAAAAGTTTCAAAGTCAATAGACCATGACTGAGGGGGCAGGGCCAAATAATCTCCATGGAAATGAGATGTGCTAATGCTGATACAACTGTATACCAAATATGATTGACCTACACATGTATCACTTGTGGTTCACCATAAACTACACCTAATCACAAACTAATACATTGTTGACGCCGCTGACACCTGAAACAGCATACCTATGTCTCGCTTTTTGACTCCGTCAAGTTGAGACAAAAACCATGCTCTATGGTCGGCTGTAACTATAAAAGGCCCAAACTTGAAAAATGTGAAACAATTCAATTGAGAACAATAACAGCATAGTCAATAGCAAAACAATTTACGAAAACAAATATAACAGTCATGAACCAACTATACATGTACAACTACTGAACTACATGTTTCTAACTTGGGACACGTTCATAAAGAATGTGGCAGGTTTAATTAAAAAGATGTTTGTGAGCATTTATTTTGGGTGCCAATTTGACCAAGTGCCTAAGTGGCTAATATTCCAATATCAGCATCCGCATACATCTTCAGACTTTAAAGTCTTTAATCATTAATGCAATGTACTGTAGCTGATTGTTTCTATAGTTGTTTACAGACTTACTCCAACATGTATTTGCTCCAGACCTGTTTCCCACAGAAAACGAGTGGGTTTGCACGACCTCCCCACTTTTACACCATCACATAAAAAAGACACCAATTGTTAGTGTGGTCAGTGACATTGTTTCCGTATTTCCAGGAACATATATATTGTCATTATTGACAAAATATACTGTAACGTGTTCCCAGGTATTTCAAAACAATTAAGTGCCCCCTAGCCGGCCTCCTTTGATAGATTTTGGGTAGTCCAACTTATTATGACCTCTTGAAAGTGTATTTTACTTTTTTTCTTTGACGACTTACAACGACCGCTGTAAGGCGTCAAAGCAAAAAGTATAATAGCCTTTCAAGACGTCATAATATTATTTGGACTGGGTTTTGGGAAGAAAATTGGGCATGAATGTCAGAATGAGATTCAAAAGATAAATGATTGTGTTATGTCTAGAGAATTATAAGTAATACGGTCACCAAATCGAAAATCAGTCTCATGATGAACTTGAAGTGACTGTTGTCGTGTTGACAGTGTTGTTGTACAAAATAAAAATGAGACTTTACTATACTTTACTGATCACCTCTTTAATATTGCTCATATGCCATCATGCAAACTTCAAAACCATCTTTGAAAAAGAGGAGCATGAACACACACATGATCAGAAAACACACAGCTCAATAACAAACTTAGGGAGCCTGAAATTAAAAGTAAACAAATGCAGACCAGTAAATAAATATTTATTCATAATTCTACTTGCAAATGCCTTCGATACTGAAACAAACCCAGGGCCAAGATGGCCATGCGGTACTTGTAACAAAGCAGTTACCTGGAAACATAAAGCGGTATGTTGCGACAGCTGTGATACCTGGTTCCATATTAACTGTCAAGGTATACACTCAAATATTTACAAATTTATGGATGCAAGCAACATCTCGTGGGAGTGCTTACAATGTGGTATGCCAAATTTTTCAACATCATTATTTAACTCAACATACTCAATCGATACAGAAAATCAGTATTCTGATCTCAGTAAATGTTCAGACTTAAGCAGCCCAGGTGTACCAAATGCAACATCATCACCTATAGATTTACCGGTACATAAAAACAACAAGGGTTCACAACAGAAAAAGCAAAAATCCAAAGTAAGAAAACCAATAAGAGTAATCAACATAAATTTCCAATCACTTTGCAATAAAAAACCTGATCTATTAGAAATAATCAATTCATGTAAACCAGACATTATCATAGGTACAGAAACATGGCTAGACAAGTCAATACCATCAACTGACTTTTTTCCAAGCAACCTGTACAATGTATACAGAAATGATAGACCAACAAACAACAAAAACCAAAGCCATGGTGGTGTTTTAATAGCTATCACCAAAGAGTTTATTAGTTCTGAAATTGTAGAACTTAAAACAGATTGTGAGATAGTATGGGCAGAAATAAACATCTCTGGCACAAAAAAGATCTGTATTGGTAGCTACTATAGACCCCCATCAGATAAAGGTACATCTTTGGAACAACTTAACATCTCCTTGAATAGACTAGATAATACAACAACCACAAATATATGGTTAGGAGGGGACTTTAATCTTGGACACATAGACTGGTCAATACCAGCATTCATCTTAGGCAAACCAGATGCTAAACAACATCAGCTTTTACTAGACATAATATCAAATCACCACTTGCACCAAGCCACAGACAAGCCAACACGTAAAGATAGAATATTAGATCTCATTCTAGTAAACAATCCAACTAGCATCAATAAACTTAACACACTACCACCGATTGGCTCAGCAGATCACGATATAGTCTATGTAGAAATCGACACTGGCTTAAAAGAGTAAGAGAAACACCAAGAAAAATACTTAAATACAAAGAGGCAAACTGGAACATCATTAAAAATGACCTTACTACAACACTTAACACCATCAATAACTTGTATGACTTGAGTGATGCAGATACATTATGGAACACCTTCAAAAACGATCTTCTCAAATCAATAGAGTCAAATGTACCTCACAAAATGCTCACATACAAGCATAGACTACCTTGGATAAACAACAACCTAAGGAAACTCATTAACAAGAAAAATAAGTGTTATAAAAACAGAAATGAAAACCCTTCGAAATACAAGAAACTAAAACAAACAGTCCAAAAAGAGCAAAGGAAGGCATACTGGAACTACATAGAACAAATTATTTGTGATTTACCAATCAATGAACCGGACCAACATCAGTCCACAAACACAAAACCAAAAAAGCTATTTCAGTTCATCAAAAGCACTAGAAACGATAATACAGGAATTGCGCCTCTGAAAAAAGAAGGCATACTTGTAACAGACACTACTGAAAAAGCAGACATTCTTAATCAACAATTTCAGTCAGTATTTACTAACGAACCGCCAACTAATATTCCTGATAAGGGTCCAAGCCCATACACAAAAATGCCAGAAATAAAAATCACAACACCAGGTGTCGAAAAATTGCTACATAAACTAAATCCACATAAAGCAAGTGGTCCAGATAATATCAGTGGACGGGTTTTAAAAGAACTAAAAGTACAAATTGCACCTATCCTTAACACCATATTTACCAAATCTGTGAAATCAGGAAAAACACCAAAAGACTGGAAACATGCAATTGTTGCGCCAGCATTTAAAAAGGGCGAACGATACAAGGCTGAAAACTATAGACCAATTTCACTCACTTGTATTTGTTGTAAATTGATGGAGCATATTGTGACAAGTAACATCATGAACTATTTGGAGGCAAATAACATACTCTACGATCTCCAACATGGTTTCCGAAAATCGAGATCATGTGAATCACAACTCATTCAATTTATACAAGAACTTCATAACAACAACAGCAAAAATATACAAACAGACCTCATTATTATGGATTTTGCCAAAGCCTTCGATAAAGTACCCCACAAACGTCTACTCTACAAACTTAAATTCTATGGCATTCAAGATAACACTCTAAAATGGATTCAGGCTTTCTTATCAGACCGTACACAAACAGTGGTTATAGATGGAATAACATCAAATACAGCACCAGTTACATCAGGCGTACCCCAAGGAACTGTCCTTGGGCCTATACTCTTTTTAATTTACATTAATGATTTTCCAGAATATCTTGAACACAGCAAATTACGACTCTTCGCTGATGATAGCATTATATACAGAGAAATTACATGTCAACAAGACTGCATAAAACTACAAACAGATCTTAATGCAGCAGCTAAATGGGAGGCTGATTGGCTCATGGCCTTCCATCCAGGAAAATGCACAATTTTAACCATCACACAGAAAAAGAAACCATTCAAACACGATTACATTCTGCATAACCATATTTTAGAACCAGTAACATCAGCAAAATATCTCGGCGTAACCTTACAGTCTAACTTAAAATGGAACAATCACTACGACAACATCATATCAAATGCAAATAAATCTCTTGGCTTTCTGAGGAGAAACTTAAAAGTATCAGACACCAATATCAAATCTCGTGCATACCAATCCATAGTGAGACCAAAACTTGAATATGCATGTAGTTTATGGGATCCGCACACATCAGAATATAAAAATAAGCTAGAAATGGTACAGAGGCGTGCGGCCCGTTATGTATGTAACAACTACCACAACACCAGTAGTGTTACATCCATGTTAAACGAACTACAATGGCCCTCACTAACTGAGCGTCGCCTCAAAACCAGACTAATCATGTTCTATAAAGTAATACATGGACTCATCGCAATTCCATCACTAGTCCTTATACCATCAGATACTAGAACAAGAAAATCACATACCCAAACATTTCGGCAAATATCCACCTCTAAAGACAGTTACAAATGGTCATTTTTTCCGCAAACAATCATCCAATGGAACATGTTACCACAAGTTGTAGTAGCATGTCAAACAATTGAAACCTATAGAGATCAGTTGACACCAACTGTTCTCCACAACATAAATTAACTCTATAAATACCAATGTACATATTTTTAATCACTTGTTGTCTTTGTTTCATGTAAATATCACCAAGTATTCTACAAATTTAAAGATAAATTTTTGTTCTATATAATTTTAATCATATACTCCGCGCATGCAACAGTTCGTAATCTTCAATATAAATGAAGCTGTAACTGTATATCAGAAGAAGAAGTTGAAAATTTCTTCTTTGCGGATTTGAAAATCCCGCAATGACGATTTGAACAGTGCTATATGGAAAAACCTCGAGGCAACCGAAAAGGTGCGAAGTCAAACTAAATACCATTAAAATATTATTATTCAGCCCAATAAGATAATGTATCCTATTTGATAGATTGAGATGATGCATATACTATACACTATTATAATTGTTAAATGGGTGTGAATTATAAAATAAATGACAGAAAATAGTATCTTCAGAAATTGACAAGTAAATATAATAAAGTGTTTTCCTTGTCTACTTTTTGGTCTTAACTTACACTGTTATTATAACAACATTA